TATATTATATTATATTATATTATATCATATCACATTACATTACATTATATTATCTTAGAATTATTATTATTTATTGAAACGAGAGCACAGAGCTGTTTAACAGGGGAGGTCTGGGTCTGAACACAACCTAACCTTCATGTTTTTGGTCTCTGGGAGGAAACCAGGATCCACAGAAAACCCATGAAACAAAGAAAGAGCCCAGGTCTGAACCAAGGACTGAACCCAGGACTTTGTTGCTGTGAGGCTTCAGTGCTAACCACTGAGCCACCGTGCTGCCTCTGACAGTTATTATTACTCTTCAACAGGAGGGTGGGAGTGATTGTTTTGTCCACAGGATGGTGGGCGGAGTCTCATGGAGTAACTAAAGCTGACCAATCAGAGCAGTCACATCTAACATGGCTTCCATAAGTCCAGGTGCCTGAGGAAAGTTCTATCTATCTGCTCCTCACTCTGACGCCAGGACAGGCTCCGCCCACCAGTGTTTGTGTGTGACACATCAGAGCCAGGTGGTCTCACCACATGGTGGTCTGCCCAGTCTCGTCACCGTGACGACCCTTCGACCAATGAGCTTCAGGATTTTACCATCGGCTGTTCCAGTGAAGAGGACGTCTGCAGACAGGAGGACACAAAGACATCACTGAGCATGTGCAGGACTCTTCTGGTTCTATGAGCACCTGGAACTGGACTCTGACTCTTCAGGGTCCAGACCACAGGGGTCCAGATCACAGGGGTCCAGACCACAGGGGTCCAGATCACAGTGGTCCAGACCACAGGGGTCCAGACCACAGGGGTCCAGATCACAGGGGTCCAGACCACAGGGGTCCAGATCACAGTGGTCCAGACCACAGGGGTCCAGATCACAGGGGTCCAGACAAATGGGTTCCAGACCACAGGGATCCAGACCAATGGGTTCCAGACCACAGGGGTCCAGACAACAGGGATCCAGACCACAGGGGTTCAGACCAATGGGTTCCAGACCAATGGGTTCCAGACCAATGGGTTCCAGACCACAGGGGTCCAGACCAATGGGTTCCAGACCACTGGGGTCCAGACCACAGGGGTCCGGACCACAGGGGTCCAGATCAATGGGTTCCAGACCACTGAGGTCCAGACCACAGGGGTTCAGACCAATGGGTTCTAGACCACAGGGGTCCAGATCACAGGGGCCCAGACCACAGGGGTCCAGACCAATGGGTTCCAGACCACAGGGGTCCAGACTACAGGGATCCAGACCACAGGGGTTCAGACCACAGGGGTCCAGACCACAGGGATCCAGATCACAGGGGTCCAGACAAATGGGTTCCAGACCACAGGGGTCCAGATCACAGGGGTCCAGACCACAGGGGTCCAGATCACAGGGGTCCAGATCACAGGGGTCCAGACCACAGGGATCCAGACTACAGGGATCCAGACCACAGGGATCCAGATCACAGGGGTCCAGATCACAGGGGTCCAGACCACAGGGGTCCAGACCACAGGGATCCAGACTACAGGGATCCAGACCACAGGGGTCCAGACCACAGGGGTCCAGATCACAGGGGTCCAGATCACAGGGGTCCAGACAAATGGGTTCCAGACCACTGGGGTCCAGATCACAGGGGTCCAGACCAATGGGTTCCAGACCACTGGGGTCCAGACCACAGGGGTCCAGACCACAGGGGTCCAGACCAATGGGTTCCAGACCACTGGGGTCCAGACCACAGGGGTCCAGACCAATGGGTTTCAGACCACAGGGGTCCAGACCAATGGGCTCCAGACCACAGGGATCCGGACCACAGGGGTCCAGACCACAGGAGTCCAGACCACAGGGATCCAGACCACAGGGGTCCAGACCAATGGGTTCCAGACCACAGGGGTCCAGACCACAGGGATCCAGACCACAGGGGTCCAGACCAATGGGTTCCAGATCACTGGGGTCCAGACCACAGGGGTCCAGACCACTGGGGTCCGGACCACAGGGGTCCAGACCAATGGGTTCCAGACCAGAGTGGTCCAGACCACAAGGATCCAGACCAGAGGGGTCCAGACCACAGTGATCCAGACCACAGGGATCCAGACCACAGGTGTCCAGATTAACGGGATCCAGACCACAGGGATCCAGACCAGAGGGGTCCAGACCACAGTGATCCAGACCACAGGGATCCAGACCACAGGGGTCCAGATTAACGGGATCCAGACCACAGGGATCCAGACCACAGGTGTCCAGATTACAGGGATGCAGACCACAGGGATCCAGACCACAGGGGTCCAGACCACAGGGATCCAGACCAATGGGATCCAGACCACAGGGGTCCAGATCACAGGGATCCAGATTACAGGGATCCAGACCACAGGGATCCAGACCACAGGGATCCAGATCACAGGGTTCCAGACCACAGGGGTCCAGACCACAGGGGTCCAGACCAATGGGTTCCAGACCACAGGGGTCCAGACCACAGGGATCCAGACTGAAGACCATGCTGTTATCTGACCTCCGATGTTGGTGATGGACTCTGGTCCAATCAGATGGTCTTCAAAGAGTCTCTCGGCCTCTCGGAGCTTCAGGTTTGGCTCCCAACAGCCCTTCATGGACGGGGGTTCCTTCAGTCTGCAGAGACACACCTGGTCAGCAGGGTGCAACACCTGTTCAGGTCTGAGACCCTCTAAAACACAGCTGTATGCTGGGCTCACCTGAAGACTTCTGGCTGGATGGGTGACTCCAGGATGAGGATGATGACGAGCAGAGGAAGAAGCAGGAAAAGGCCAAGAGACAGCAACGTTACCTGGAACACCTTCCCACTGTAGGTGCTGAGACAGGCACAGAGACTGGAGTCACTGAAGGGACAACAGTCCAGGTGTGTGTCTGCTACAGGTTAAAATAAAGGGCTGAACGGTCACTTTCACTGAAACACATTGATTACATCACCTACAGCCAGGCCTGGTGACATCACTTATTACATCACCAACAGCCAGGCCTGGTGACATCACTTATTACAACACCTACAGCCAGGCCTGGTGACATCACTTATTACATCACCTGCAGCCAGGCCTGGTGACATCACTTATTACATCACCTACAGCCAGGCCAGGTGACATCACTTATTACATCACCTACAGCCAGACCTGGTGACATCACCTACAGCCAGGCCAGGTGACATCACTTATTACATCACCTACAGCCAGACCTGGTGACATCACCTACAGCCAGGCCAGGTGACATCACTTATTACATCACCTACAGCCAGA